CGGGTCTTAACGCACACTTTATTACTTTATCGTATATTTTAGTGGGAGTGTCTGTCAGTCTGGCTGTCTGTTAGCTCTCTAATGTATATATTTATAATGTGATTTTGAGGAAATTTTCACATCTGACTTAACTGTTCTGTACCTAAACATTGGTGCAATTTAATCAAAATCGGTATAAGGGAAAATTCACCGAAATTCGAGATAGACGAGCAACATTGCCCGACCTTTCTCGGATTAGGTGTATATTGTATAATCTTGATTGTCTCAGTTTGCCCTCCCTAACACAGGTAACCACCTCAACCTAGCCTAATCTAATCTAACCTGACCTAACCTAACTTAACCTAACCATGAATGTCACCCCCCCCCCGGGACATGGGTCCATCTGCAATCGCCGTGGTCATATCTCAGTCGGGGAAGCTGTTTGGTTCTTACCAGGACCACCTGGGGATCTGTGGTTAATAGTATTACCAAGTGCACAACATTAGAGCCCATGTACTGTAATATGTGTGCAAAGTTTTAGTTCTCTAACTGCTTCCGTTTTCGAGCTAGAGACGCACATTCTCACAAACAGACAAACACGTTCTCTTATATATATATATATATATATATATATATATATATATATATATATATATATATATATATATATATATATATATATATATATATATAATTTGTTCAGCAAGTGAAGCTCACACATGTGTAGAGAGAGACAAGCAGCAGTTGTATACTGAACACAGTGTTGAGGTTCATCCTGTATGTCAGGTGGAGGCGGCCACTCAGGTGAAGGATAAATGACTCGGGGTCACTCTGAGTCACAGATCAGTGGAGTAGGACTTGAGGTATTGGACCAGGAATGTATGGAGGGGCAAAGTTACCCAACGGTGAGAGATCGATCAGCTGTGAAATGACACTCGAACGAAACTCACATGCAGTGAACTTAAAATTCATGAAGTCTAGTTCACAACTAACTATTTCAGGAAGTTAGTGTTAAACTGGAAATATAATTGCAGAAACTAATAGAGATAAGGGTAACAAGATGAGAGTAGAGAGAGTTAACGCTAACAAAAACAACAAGTGTCAAAATCATCATAAAGGCTAATCTTCTTCGCTGAAGAGTCTACTGGACCATAGAGAATAACACTGTATCTATTTTTTTGTGATGAGGTCAGAGATCTTTACACTCCAGCTCGACTTTGTTACCTGCACGAGAATTCTACGCCACAGTCCTTCAGGTTGAGTGAGGAGAGCGATGAAGACGAATGGTTTTATCGTTTCCTGAGTATGACGAGGAAGAGGGGAAACAGTTAACTAATGGACCACATAGGAAATGAGAACAAAATTAGGGGGATGGAGTGAGTGGTGAGGGAGATGGGCGAGATGGAGGGAGTGGTGAGGGAGATGGAGTGAGTGGTGAGGGAGATGGAGGGAGTGGTGATGGACTTGGAGGAGGGAGTTGTGAGGGAGATGGATAAAGCTTACAAATTTATATTCACCTGAACAACACCTGAGAGATGTGACTAAATGGGGCTCTTTTTTTTTACCAACTGAAGCACACATTAACCCCCCAACCATTCCTGAGATGTTCCTCCTGATTTCTACTAGATGGTTATGCAAGCCTTGGTGCGGGAGACTTTGGGGGTGAGGAGAGGAGGGGTGAGGAGAGATGGGAGGGGAGTGAGGAGGGGAGGGGAAGGTGGCGTAAATGTGGTGAGAGAGTTAGGATATGTGATAACAGGTGAGAGAGCCTCCCCCCAACCTGGCAAGCTTAGATTAATTAGTGACGTCATAGATTTTTTCTGCCGCAGGATTTAGCAGGTGGTGGAAGTGAGTGAGGCGGCTAAAATAGGATGAAAAGGGTGACTTAAAAACGGAAGGTAGAGGCCAGATTACCTGAGGTAGGCCAGATAAAGGGTAATAGTAGTAGTAGACGTCAATGGAGGTGACAGCGGGAGGAAGGGGAGGTAATTATGGAGAGACGAGGTACAGGAAGTGTTGGACAGAAGACTAAATACAAAAAGTTAGAATACTAGAATTCATCAAGACTTTTTTTCTTGTTCCTAAATTAACACTTGAGAAAAAAAAATGTCTCGTGTCAGGGCCTCACCGACACATGTATATTTCTGACTGTGGTCCCCTTAAATAACGTCTACAAGGGGCCACACACATCTCCGCTTCCTCGACAATATTAAAACCTCTTGTGATATAAAGAGATGAATTAAAATCTCACACCCTATTGCTTGAGGTATCATAGCTCCTCCAGGTCACCGACGAGTGGAATCATTGCGCTGGTGTTCATTATAATGATCATTTCTATCTACAATGACAGACGACATGCTACACTAACAACTACATGTAAATAAAACACTTCGGTACTCGACTTCACCTCACTTCCTAGACCAACGGTAATGATAAATCACTTTAACATCCATGAACATTTTGAGGAGATTTACACACTTACAGATGTTACTGAACATTATAACCTAAGATTTGTAAATGTTTATTCGATATAGTTGAGGAAAAAATTTACATGTTAAAGAAAGTTGGTTGAGGTATTGTGAGGAAGATGAATGGTAGTGTGTACAGGGGGAGACGGGAGGTGAGTGTGTGTATAGAGGGAGACGGGAGGTGAGTGTGTGTATAGGGGGACGGGAGGTGAGTGTGTGTATAGAGGGGAGAGGAGGTGAGTGTGTGTATAGGGGAGACAGGGGTGAGGTGTGTATAGAGGGAGACAGGAGGTGAGGTGTGTATAGAGAGACAGGAGGTGAGTGTGTATAGGGAGACGGGAGGTGAGTGTGTGTATAGGGGAGACGGGAGAGGGTGAGTGTGTGTATGGGGAGACAGGAGGGTGAGTGTGTGTATAGGAGACAGGAGGTGAGTGTGTGTGTATAGGGGAGGCATTGAGTAGGTGAGTGTGTATAGGGGAACGGAGGTGGTGTGTGTATAGGGGGAGACAGTAGGTGAGTGTGTGTGTAGGGACACGGTAGGTGAGTGTGTGTATAGGGGACAGGAGGTGAGTGTGTGTATGGGGAGACAGGAGGTGAGTGTGTGTAGGGGAGACGGGGAGGTGAGTGTGTGTATAGGGGGAGACGGGAGGTGAGTGTGTGTATGGGTGGAGACGGGAGGTGAGTGTGTGTATAGAGGGAGACGGGAGGAATGAACTTAGCCTACCTGAAGCGGTAGCACAGGTTAATTACAGGTGAGGCTGAGGAAGGGAACAAAGTGAATGAGGTACGGGAGAGAATGAAGTAAAATGCACAAGAAGAGAAGGAAGAAGTGTAAGGGATGAGGGAAGTAATTTTAACGCAAGGAAGAAGGCTGACTCAAGAAACTCATTTTAGCTCAGTAAAATGTGTTTTTTACACAGAAAACGAGAATTGAAATAGAGTTGTAACAATGGTATATTCTTTTATATATATATATATATGTGTGTGTGTGTGTGTGTGGCTTTCTTCCCTAAATAAATTGGTGATGATGCTGTTTAAATATTTTCAAAGGCTGATTTTATTTTGTTTAATATTTGGAAGTTGCCAAGCACGGAACTCTATATTGTAAATTTATAGTTTTTGAGTTATTCGGACATTTCTATTTCCCTTTAAGTGTTTATTCACCACAATTTCCCTCTCCCTCAAAGCCAGACACAAGCAAAGGTCAAACTTCCGCGTATGGCAACTTCTAAATATTTACCTCATTTTTAATATTTTACAATCAGATTTTTGTGTTTTTAATTTTTTTGTCAAGCTTCAGTGTTTGTCCTAAGAAATGGGATATACTACAAGAACTGAACTAACATGTGTTTAGAGAGGTAAAGGGGAAGAAGGGAGGGAGGAATGATAAAGGGGAGAGGTAGATGGAATCATGGGGGGAGAGGAGGGAAAAGGGGAAGGAGGGATGGTAAGGGGTTGGTGGGGGCAGGGGGAGGAGGGAGGGGGCTGTTACGTGCCCAATTTTATCGCCGTTAATATTGATGAGGCATTTCTGCATTTCTTGTCTTTAAAGTCTCTTCATGCCAGTATATATTTTATTTATTTAATTTCCAACATCCTCAATAAACATAATGTGGAGTATATAAAGTTTGTTCATGGAAAAGTCTTTGTGTGTTTTATCACCAAATTACCAACACACACACACACACACACACACACACACACACACACACACACACACACACACACACACACACACACACACACACAGACATACACACACACACACACACACACACACACACACACACAGACACACACACACACACACACACACACACACACACACACACACACAGACATACACACACACACACACACACACACACACACACACACACACACACACACACACACACACACACACACACACACACACACACACACACACACACACACACAGACACACACACACACAGACATACACACACACACACACACACACACACACACACACACACAGACATACACACACACACACACACACACACACACACAGACACACACACACAGACACACACACACACACACACACACACACACACACACACACACACACACACACACACACACACACAGACACACACAGACACACACACAGACACACACACACACAGACACACACACGCACACACACACACACACACAGACACACACACACACACACACACACACACACACACAGTAGTTGAAATACTGTATATTCGTGTTATCTAAGAACATTGAATAACTTTATCGAGAGTTACTAACAATGTTGCCAAAATTAACATAACGTTGGACCATTAGAATTGAGACTATTTAACAAAGATTATAATGGGGCCAACTTAGCACTTAACAATGACTAGAATGGGATCAACTTTACACATAAGTAAGACTAGAATGGGATCAACTTTACACTTAATAGAGACATGGTTAGGGCGGTCAGGGAAAGTAGAAGAAGAAGGATAGGGGAAGAAAGGGGAGAAAGGGGGGGAAGGGGAGAAAGGGAGGGGAGGGAGGGGAGGAAGCACCTACTCTTACGCACCAACCAGCAAGGTTAAACTGGCCGGCCGGAAACCACATGCTGGAAAGATTCATAAGAACCAGAGTCTATAAACAGGGAACATTTACATTGCCCGGTACAGGTATCAGCAAGTGCCGCATAGAGTGCCGTCAAGTACACTGCGGACGTGACCAGCGCGACGGTCCCCAACAAACGCCAGCGATACTCAGCATAACGTGGGCGTATTGAACGATTATTGTTATTTTTTTTAGAGAGAGGGAGAGAGAGAGAGAGAGAGAGAGAGAGAGAGAGAGAGAGAGAGAGTAAATTTATGTTTCTTTTATATAAGAGTATTTATTTATTTTTATTTTTTGTGTGTGTGTGTTTGGTGAGGTTATGGGCATTTATTGTGTTAGTCCATCCCAGTAACGAGAGCTTGATGTGTTGACGAGTATGTCCTTCATTTACGAGTATTTCCTTCATTTACGAGTATTTCCTTCATTTACGAATATTTCCTTCATTTACGAGTATTTCCTACATTTACGAATATTTCCTTCATTTACGAATATTTCCTTCATTTACGAGTATTTCCTTCATTTACAAGCAGTTCCTTCATTTATAACCATTTCCTTCATTTACAACCATTTCCTTCATTTACAAGCAGTTCCTTCATTTATAACCATTTCCTTCATTTACAACCATTTCCTTCATTTACGAGTAGATGTGTGCACAACTTAGAGATCACATGAAGATCACCTGCAATAATATGCTACTTTAGGACACTGTTATTATAGTATATCAACAGGTAATGGATACATTAGTTTTTCAGTATTGATTAGATTTCCTTAATTTTAGATGTACAGTCAGGAATTACCTTTGAATAAACTCCAGTGTTGCTGCAGTTTCAATAGGATATTTGATGTTGAAGATGTAATATGCAGTAAACAGTTTAGCTAAACCGGAATCAAAGGTGCTGACGTGGTCGTTGACAATTATCCCGTCGATGGCAAGCATAAATCTGTCATCCATTGTAAAGCTTTACCATTAATCTAGCTATATAGGCTAGGGCATATCTCCTTAGAATATACTTAAGAGGGAAACCACTGACCTTAAGGTGCCTTCCGCTTCAACGGGCCATGTGGCGCCTCTTTGAATAAATGTAAACAAACACGGACATACGACGAACGCGAAGAGCAAACAATCGCGAACCGCATAACCAGCAATTCCATATAGGAATAACAGCATTAACATGCAATTTTAAATGTTCTTTGCGTCATGAAGTGTATATTTTATTAGAATATGTCAGTTTATATTGATAATCTAGCAAATTAAAAGAGAGGAAGAGACAGTATGAAATATTTTACAGAAAAAATAAATTAATTTAAATTACTACGTTTTCCCTGTTGGGAAATACAGAAGAAACGTGTAAAAAATACAAAATTTTCTAACAGTGTAGAGGAATAAAGGAGGGAGGAATACTGTATATAATGATTTTGTTATTCGTGTTATCTAAGAATATTGAATAACTTTATCGAGAGTTACTAACAATGTTGCCCAAATTAACAGAACGTTGGACCATTAGAATTGAGGCTTTTTATTTAACAAAGATTATAATGCGCCAACTTAACACTTAACAATGACTAGAATGGGGCCAACTTAACACTTAACAATGACTAGAATGGGGCCAACTTAATACTTAACAATGACTAGAATGGGACCAACTTAACACTTAACAATTACTAGAATGGGGCCAACTTAACACTAAACAATTACTAGAATGGGGCCAACTTAACAATGACTAGAATGGGCACTTAACAATGACTAGAATGGGACCAACTTAACACTTAACAATGACTAGAATGGGGCCAACTTAACACTTAACAATGACTAGAATGGGGCCAACTTAACACTTAACAATGACTAGAATGGGGCCAACTTAACACTTAACAACGACTAGAATGGGACCAACTTAACACTTAGCAACGACTAGAATGGGACCAACTTAACACTTAACAATGACTAGAATGGGGCCAACTTAACACTTAACAATGACTAGAATGGGACCAACTTAACACTTAACAATGACTAGAATGGGGCCAACTTAACACTTAACAATGACTAGAATGGGACCAACTTAACACTTAACAATGACTAGAATGGGGCCAACTTAACACTTAACAACGACTAGAATGGGGCCAACTTAATACTTAACAATGACTAGAATGGGACCAACTTAATACTTAACAATGACTAGAATTACTTACGATTAACGATAAATTTATCAGAACCTGTTTTACGAGTGCCTACTGTTTTTACTTACGAGAATGTAGTACACTTAAATGAGCCTTCTGACTTAAATGAACGCAACTTACCTACAGAACATGACGAGAACTGCAGGAAATTGTTAATTTTACACTTAAGAACGACTGAAAACGACCAACTTTACAACTTAGAGGGGCTGAAAGCGACAAACTTTACACTTAAGAGGGGCTGAAAACGACAAACTTTACACTTAACAGGGGCTGAAAACGACAAACTGTACACTTAAGAGGGGCTGAAAACGACAAACTTTACACTTAAGAGGGGCTGAAAACGACAAACTTTACACTTAAGAGGGGCTGAAAACGACAAACTGTACACATTAGAGGGGCTGAAAACGACAAACTTTACACTTAAGAGGGGCTGGAAACGACAAACTGTACACATTAGAGGGACTGAAAACGACAAACTTTACACTTTAGAGGGGCTGAAAACGACAAACTTTACACTTTAGAGGGGCTGAAAACGACAAACTTTACACTTAAGAGGGGCTGAAAACGACAAACTGTACACTTAAGAGGGGCTGGAACAGCAGACATAACACATTTGAGTAAGGCTAAAAAATGCGAATGTTACGATTTTCAGCTTCATTAGTGACACTGCACGGACGACTAACAAGGGTGCTTTTGGTGTTCTCTGTGGGTTTTTTGATGTGTGTGTTTTATTAATGTATGTTCACCACTGATGTGTGCTACATTGATGTGTGTTCACTATGTATGTGTGTTCTATTGACTTTTGTTCACTACTGGTCTGTATCCTTTGTGTGTTTATGTATCTTCTGGGTTTTTTTTTCAGTATGTGTTTCTTATTGACGTGCCTGTCTCTTGTTTTGTGTGTGTGTGTGTTCTCTGTTCATGTGTGTGTGTTTTCTGTTCATGTTTGTGTGTTTTCTGTTCATGTTTGTATGTTTTCTGTTCATGTGTGTGTTCTCTGTTCATGTGTGTGTTCTATGTTCATGTTTGTGTGTTCTCTGTTCATGTGTGTGTGTGTTCTCTGTTCATACTTGTGTGTTCTCTGTTCATGTTTGTATGTTCTCTATTTATGTGTGTGTGTGTTCTATGTTCATGTTTGTGTTTTCTGTTCATGTGTGTGTGTGCTCTCTGTTCATGTTTGTGTGTTCTCTCTTCATGTTCGTTTGTTCTCTATTCATGTTTCTGTGTGTGCTATGTTCATGTGTTGTTCATATATGTGTGTGTGTGTGTGTGTGTGTGTTCTCTGTTCATGTTCGTTATTTCTCTGTTAATGTTTCTGTGTGTGTGTTCTATGTGCATGTGTTGTTCATGTGTGTGTGTGTGTTCTATGTGCATGTGCTGCTCATGTGTGTGTGTGTGTTCTCTAATAGCAGATCATGTGATAAATTTCCTCCTATATAACAGAGCTCCTCTCCTCCGTGTTGGTATCACCAGTCAAGAACGTGGTCAGACTAAATTATCTCATTCCTACACTTATGTACCAAAAGACACATGGAAGACACTTACATTCTGGTGGTGATACAGAGCTTCTCATGGTGTGTTTTGTGACGAATTTACAGCTTTTCCTTGTAAATACAGTTGTTCTAACCCTAACGTGTGAGAAATGTTGAATGTTGACGTGTTTACATAGTTTTCCTCCAGTGTAATGATGTTAAATGTTTACGTATTATACATAGTCTTTCAGTGAGTAATAGCGATGTTGTAGGTTTGTGTATATGTATATAGTGTTTCCCAAAGTAATAGTGATGTTGCATTTTTACTAGTACACATTATCTTCCCCAGCGAAAAAAGCAATGTTGAATTTTTACAAGTTTATGCTATATATATATATATATATATATATATATATATATATATATATATATATATATATATATATATATATATATATATATATATATATATATATATATATATATATCCATCTAATAGCCATGAAGAATGTTTACGTCTGGTAGATAGTCTTATCGTAGCCACACGTCAGTGTCAGTGAGTCCACCATTTTCTTTTTCTTTTTACTGTGTCTGTCTGTCTGTTTGTCTTACCCCAGCTTCTTGCAGTCAACACTACCAAATCCTGTCATTTGGCCTTTGAGATAACTGGACCCCAACTTAATCTAACCCAAACCAAACCAGACCAAACCAAACCAGACCAAACCAAACCTGACCTTGCCTGACCTTAACCTAACCTAATTCCTCTTCGACTGGGACACATTTCACTTATCAACCCTCTCCCAACTTAAAAATATCACTAAATTCTAATTGCTGTCTGCTACTGTTTCTTAATTTTGGATATGCTTGTAGTCCTTTCTTCGTTCCACTTACCGCCCTTATCATCCATTCATCTGTTTTCACACACAGCAACTCTTACCTCAAACGATCTTTAAACAAAAACGAATCTTAATGACATCTCAACCCGCCTCCACTCTCCTCACGAATGAACACCGCCTTTCTTTTGACTAACTTTCAAAATTAATGGAGACATTCCACCGTCCGTACGTCACGTGTCCGTGGAACGTACGCGGGTGAACAGCCAAATGTCAGCCTGCCAATCTTGGACACTGCAGGGGGGTGGAGGGAGTGGATGACGGGATGAGTGAAGGGTGGGAGGGGACTGGAGGAAGGGAGGGGGAGATACGAGATGAGGGATAGGTAGGAGGGGGCTTAGGGAAGATAGGGAGAGGTAAGAGATGCAGGAGGGAGAGGGGAAAAGGAGATGGTAGGTAGGAGAAGGGAGAAGTGCTTGAGGTTAGGAGGGGATCGTCGAAAGGCTGTAAGAGGAAGGATAGGGGAAGAGGAGTGGAGGTAAGGAGAAGAGGAGTGGAGGTAAGGAGAAGAGGGCAAAGGAGATAAATGACGAGGGAGAGTAAAAAGAATGAGGAGTTCACCTGGGGTCTGTTGTAGGGAGAGAGAAGAAGGGGAGAGGTGAAGGGACAGAGTCACCTGCCACCAATGTGGGGTTGAGGGGGAAACCGACGGTACGACAGGAGGAAAGACAACGAAAAACAGAATTGACAAAGAAACATGATAATTGGGAAGAGGGAAGAGAGGGTAGATGACGGAGCTAGAAGAGACAAGACAGTAGTGAGGTAATCATGGGAGAGTGACCCGGGAAGTACAGTACAATATATGAATGTGAGAATAATAAAGTTGGATTTCTGTTCATCTAGATTCTAGATAATCGAAGGGAAACGCGGACAAACTCAAATACTGGAAAACCGATAAACAGACAGAATGACGAGCTGTCGTAGGGAGAAAATTTATAGAAAGGACCTCGTAGACTCTGTGTTGTGGCTGTTGTAGGTCATCATAACGGTGTACACAGTTGGTCTAATAAATGTCAGCAAGTGACCTGATTTTGTGATAAAGGTAACGCTCGGCCCGGGTGTCCACCTGGCCACAATAGCTTAATGATGGTGGTCACCCGGCCAGTCCGAGTAATCATTATTAATCGTTATTGGAGGATTTAGAAGACAGTCGTAAATCTCATCTTTCATGCTTATAATGCCATTGCTAATGTTGCTCGTGTGTCCCAACTGGCGTGTCGTGCTCGTGTGAGGGATTGTGGAGTGAGTGTTCAAGGTAGCGCCCCCCCACCTCCTCGCTCACACGTGACGTGAACTCTGCTGTACCTCCTTCACACGGTCGCTGCAACATTTGTATCATCGAAAAATATACCTCGTTCAATCCTTTGTGTTGTCATCCATCATAACGTGTTAGAGGCCGTGTAGGGAAACCC